GGCGCAATATGGTTCATGGGGTCACGAAGAGTTGGACACGACTTAACAACTGAACAACAACAACAAATTGGGTTCAAGAATTATTCAAGAAAATTTTAATTACTCAAATGCTGTCTGGAGTAAAATCACGAGTCAAGGGATTGAATCCCTCCAAGAAGAGGTGGTTGGGGGTTTGAGGGCCTAACAGTTTCTGGGAAATTCCATCTTTGACTCTGAAGAGTGATAGTTCCTCATTCAGAGGTAGTCTGCAATTTGGGAGGTTTCCTAGACTCACAGCTCCTGCCTGAAATGCAGATGCAACTGCAGCCATTTTGCATAGTTACATCTTGGGCACCCTTGAGGTGACCCACTACTTTGGAAATTGCACTGGTTACCAGTTAGCTTCTGGATATGATTCAAGGTGCTGATTGTCATCTTTAAGTCCCTGCATGACTGTTTATTTAGGGACCACTTTCTCCTGTATTCATCTGCCTGTCCAATCAGATCAAATAGGGTCAACTGCCTCCAGATCCCATCTCTAATCACTTGATGGAACTTTGGAAGCATGCTTTTTCAGTAGCTATCCAGTCTAGTATAATTGAATCAGATTATGGTTCTCCAGAATGGTTGATTGTTAGGGGAATCTAAACATTAATTCTTCAATTACATCTAAGCATTATATATCTGTTATGTCTGAAACATGACAATTTTTACACGTCAGATTGCGCACTGTGCACATGCACAAATATGACTGTTGCCCGTTTGTGCATATTCAAAATAGTAGCTGCCATTCTTGCATTTCTGTCAACTTGCATAAAGTTGAATGTATGTGAGTGAAAGGTTACAGTATGAAATCTGGGGAGTGCTTATCTTCTTAGCTACCTAGAGCCTATTTGAACTGGGGCAGCAGATAAACTGCATAAATAAATAAGATCACTGAACCATAACACAATCTTTCTTTCTTATTCTTGAGCTTGATATTGTCTGGACCCAAGCTAAAATGTTTTGTCAGAAACAATGCAGACATAGTTGTTCCTCCTCTGTGCCCCTTCATCCTCTTTAACTCTCTAAGCAAAGAGTCACCATAGTTTCGTAGAAAGTTCCAAGACGTGTTATATAAATTGTCTTTTCTCCTATTTGCCACTCAGCCAGGAAAATATAGGATTTTGCAACCTCTTCTTTTTCTCCCATTCTCTGAAAATATTACAAAATCCTGGAATATCTGTTTGAATATTGCATATTTACAACATTTGCAGGAAATTTGTCATTAGCTCAAAGCAGCACCTTTTAAAGCCATTCTTGCACACCAGCAAAATTAATGTTTTAGTGCAAGTACATTCTAATGAGCCATATCTGTAATAAAGTATGCTTAAAGTACATTTTGGAAAGGTTACCATGAAGCGTTGATTGTTTCACTGCAAAACATGGCTTTATTTTCTAATAGATAAAGATACTGGATGAGGTGTAGAGAAAATGCAAGCTAATTGCATTACATTCTGGTACAAATTATACACAAAACAGGACACACTATAAACCTGTAGTTAAACAACTTCGGTTTACTGAAACATAGAATCATTGGATTTTTGATTCTATTTATTAATATCTAGCAAATCCACCATGATACATAATATTTTCCTTTGAGACCTATGGATCATACTGACACACCATTTTCTGTTTTTCAGCTTTCTGAAGATATGACACCTCACTAGAAGTATCTACTCACAGAATGAATACAGTCTAGTTTGGTTTTTCTTTGTCCTGCAAGTTCTGAATAGCAAGATAACCAGTATAGTGGCACTTTAACTACTTTGGAAACAATCTAACAAAAGCTGGATAGAAACCTGATAAATTGCCCAGAGCACTTCCTCGCAAGATGGGCGGTGACCAAATTTGAAATATAAATAAATAAAATAAATATGTCAAAAGATTTAGCTGCAGTTATATCACCCAACATGATGACTTCGTCTGCCAAAGATATCTAAACTAGGAGTTCCAAACCAAACTGATGGGGTGAATGATGATGTGTAAGACGAAGCTGTGGAGTGTTCTGGCCCTGTGCTTTGTACTTTCCATCTGGAAGATGTATACTTCTGTTTGTAAGGGCCCTTCACCTTTGCCAAACAACCGTGGTGAGTGGCCAGCACAAGACTCATTAATGAAAGAGGAAATGTGTCACCATAACAGATGCATTGGCCTAAGCAGTTGGGACTGGTTTTGTGACCACTTTGATGCCTCAGTAAACTGCCTGCTGACTCCTGAAAACTCAGATATCCCACCAGAGGTTCTTCAGTGGTGGCTGGTGAGTACTGCATCACATTACTAAGCTAAACAACTATATCCCTTTAGAGAAAAGAATTTGAAAGAAGATTATTCTCTCCACTAAACCAAGTGTTGGTTATGTGTAGCATTTATCCAGACTTGACTTTCAGTAGAAAATTGTTATCAGAGGTTTATTTTGGCATTTTATAATATTTGAGTTCATTTTAACTAAACAAACCTAGCATAGTAAAAGCACTAAGCTCCAATAGACAGTGAACATTTTTGACCTTCATATACAGTATATCAAACCTATTTTCCACAGCTTGCTTTTTGCTGTAACTGTCAAAAACCTGGCTTCTCTTCCTTTCCTCTTTTTGACAGATCTAGATTGCATTATGTTTTGATGGAATGGATGAAGATAAACTTCCTTTCAAGTGTTTCCTAACCATAGAGAAAGCATTCATTGGCCATTCAGCCAACAATCTCCCTAGATGTTATTGAAATCTGAGTTCCATCAACTTAGCCAGTATGGCAATGAGCAGGAATATTGGAGTTGGGGTTGAACAACTTCTAGAGGGCCACAGTTGCCCTGTACACAATCCTAGTTAGCCAGTTTGGAAACCTTCAAGCAGTCCTTTGGTTTCTATTAATCTTTTAGCTCTTCTCTCATGTCTTCTAAAATATCTAAGGTACAGAACATTCTTTGTGTTCAGGACTACACTTAGTGTTTGATGTGTGGTGAGCTATGTTAGAAATTAAATTTGATTTGGTCTAATGAATATTTGCTAGAAATTAGTTAAACATATCTACTGTAATGTTACTTTCCATGTATTTAATATTTCTCTACTTCTGTGTCATTAGTCATTACAATTTTATAGATAAGCTTTGAGTGAACTCCAAATTGATCAATCATGATTAAGGTAAAAGAATCAACCTGTAGGACCAAGAAATCAGTTTGGTAGGGAAAGATAAGCATTGCAATGAGAAATTGATAAAGAATTTGTTTCCATGACATGGGTAAATTTACCCAGTATTTTGGGTTTGCTTGATACATTTGAACCATACATTTCAGATGGGTTATGCTTGCTTAACTTATTAGGCTAGAATGTGGCTGGCCAGTTTTTGGTTCAGTATGTCATGCAAATCCAAAATATAGCCGAACAGTCACTAATTTTTTTAACCAAAAAGAGCTCCTGTGCATTGATGTGACAGGCCACACAGCTGCAGCTTTTTCCATTTTTGTGAAAAAAAATAGTGATTTTTTTCATAGTCAGTGTCTTATAGATATAGGACCCACTTTTGAAATCAGTATTAACCAGTCTAGTTCAAAGGTATCCAAAGAGTCTATAGTTATTCCCAAAAATAGAACACTTTCTTGGATGGGTATTATTGGAAGTCCCTACACCCTGTTTCTAATACTCTCTGTTTTATTCCATCAGAAGCTACAAAGATCACAAGATGGGAGCCAAATTCAGAAGATAATAAAAAAACTGTTTGACCTTCTTCAGTCTCCCACTGCTAGAGTTCAGGGTGTTGCTCAGTGTGGAACCTGTGCTGTGGTGGGAAACTCAGGAAGGCTGAGGGGCTCTAAATATGGGCAAAAGATTGATTCTCATCAATTTGTGATGAGGTAAGTAGAACAGAGCATATACACTAGGAATGAGAGAGAGGCCTGTGACCCTCCATCTAGATAAAGACACCACAACGAAGTGATGCAGACTTCTCCCAGGTGTGATAGTTTCCTGTTTCATTTTTTAAAATTGTTACATTAGCTAGTTCAGTGTTTCTCAACCTCAGCAACTTTAAGATGAGTGGACTTCAACTCCCAGAATTCCCCAGCCAGCATGGCTGGCTGGGG